AACGGACACTCGAACACACGAACACTCGGACTCGGCTGATTGGATGATGGCTATCTCACGGCAGGGCCCTTGCTCCACTTCGCTTTCCTTTCTCTCTCGCTCTCTCTCTCTCTCGCTCTCTCTCTCTCTCTCTCGTTGCAGAAGAAAGCGCGTGTGGCATGCAACATGCATCCTGCGCTGCCGCGATCCTGCCTGCAAACACCCGACAGGACAGCGAAAGTGCCTGCCAATCGCACTCTCCCTTGGGGCCAGCCATGCCCTCACAAGACTGGACTGCATCGGCAATCGGGCATCGCCGATCGGCGATCCTTGATCTCCTTCAGTTGCACCTGCTGCTGCTGCTGCTGGTGTTTGGCCCGTGTTTGTTGGTTTTTCGCTTTTTTGGCAGCTCCCCTCAAAAGGGTATTAACATGCTAGCCAGAGCTGTGCCAATGCCACACAAAAAGTATCTATTGGCGGAGGTCAAGGGACATTAACACAAAACCTTCTAAAAAAGGAATTAAATGTGCAAAACTGATTTTGAACAGACAACCAAAACTCAGATGGTTGCTAAAAAGAGTTCCAGCAATTCTGCCAAAGGGTATTCAAAGTTTCGTTTCTCGCATTCGCGCACTCTCCTGTTCCCCAGCACATTCGTTTCTTGATTAACGGTGAACGGTGAACGGTGAACGGTGAACGGTGAACGGTGAACGGTTAACGGGAATGCAGTTGAGGGAGTGACTCAGACAGCGGGAAGGGCAGATGCAGAGGCAGAAATTCGGACAGCGGCAGAGACACGGGCAGCGGCAGCGGGCAGAGACTGAGCTTTTGCAATAGATTCTGCTGCTGCTGCCTGAGCTTTTGCCTGTGTCGTGTCATGTCAAACTGCACACACACCCCCCACCCCCCCGTTGCCCGTTGCCCATGCCTTGTGCTATTCGATACTCGTAATCTTGACTCTTCTCATAATTATCATATCAACAACGAACAGGGGGGGGATGAAGGATAAAGGAGTGCATTTCGCCAAGGTGGTAGGTGCCTGCCGTGCCACAAGAGCCAAAGCAGGCTGACGAAATGGGGGGACGGGGACAGGGAACGAGGTAAATGCAGGACCAAGTCGCGTGCCCTTTTTGCCAGTCAGCCCCTCGCTGTCTGTCTGTCTGTTGCATCATTGCAGCCTCCTTCTTCTCCATCTTCTTACGCTGCTTGTGCAGCAGAGAGAGAGAGAGAGAGAGAGAGAGAACGCGTGTGCCACATGGTTTGTGCCCCGTGCTCCGTGCCCCGTGCCACAACCCTTGTGGCAGTGTGCAGTGCAGGATCTTGTGCAATCTGATCTCCCTGCTGCGCGTTGTCGCTTTGCATATTGCGGTGCGGAGCGGTGCCAAGTTGCAGGTTGCAGATTGCAAGGCTGAACGGGAAAGGACGGGATGGGATGGGACAGGACCAGGTCCCAAGTGTCTTAATCAGCGCTTAATGAGTTGAGATTGCGTAATCGGAGTGAAGAGTGGAGAGTGAAGAGTGGAGAGTGGTCCCAAAGGCACACGGTTGGGGCAGCTGTTGGCAGCTTACCTGCTGGAGGCTGCTCTGCCTCAAATATAGCAATTATGAAGAGTTGCCGCATCGCCGCACCGCACATAGAGGAAGGTGTGGCCCCGATAATGTTGTCAGCTCAATTACATGAAATACTGAAACTGATAATTGCAGTGCAAATGAAAACATAAAATTTCAATATTACATCAAGAAAGTAAACAAATTGATGGCCAGCGGCAGCAAGGAGGAGTCCCAGCTAACGAAAAAAGGCCAAAGGAAAAGCAACTGGCAGGCTGGACAGCCCAAACTGGGATCATCTCGCAAGATTGCTTGTTAATGCTTACAAAATTACAGCAAAAGCCACAAAAAGGAAAGAAGGAGAAGGAACATTTATTTACCAAAAGAGAGCCCCAGCCAGCCGAAGAGCAAAACCATTCAACATATCGAAGAGAAACGCAACTTAAAAGTGCAAAGTGGCAAATAATCAAAGAGTAACGGCTCGGAATGGATAGAAAAGAGGAATCGATTGAAACAATGGAAAGAAACCTTCTTAGAGGTGGCAATCGGAAGCTTCCTTCGGCAAAAGGAATGCTGTGGCAGAGTGGAGGAATATGGGAAATAGTAGGGCAGGGAGCCCAGGGCCCAGATCTCTTGCAGTCTCCTGCACTATTGCACCTCATATGCATGAGTGGCGAATGCTGTCGGGGGGGGGGATTTCGGCACCTCGGGCCAAAAACCGGTCAGTCATCGGACCCTTTTTGGGGTGTCATTCATCGGCGGATTGCCGTTGCTGCAGCCTTGTTATGCAGCCTCAATAAAAAGGTTATTTTCGTATTAAAAAAAAAAAACAATCAACAAAACACTGAAAATTGAAATGAGACTCGAGCAGGGATATTGGCGCGTGAGCAAGGAAGCAGCTAAGGGACGGACCATCTGCAGGCCACCCAGGACTATGCGGCGGCTTCGGCTTCGGCTTCGGTTTATGGTACGGGTGCTGGTCCGCGTGCTCATTAACGCCGCGAATTAACGGGCATTTAGCCAGAAAACAAAAGGCGAACAAAAGTGTCCCTGGCAGCGAGGAACACCAACGAAGGAGGGAGCAGGCAATGTCTGGGTGGGGCATGGGGCAGGGCAGCTGAGCACCAAAGGATCGTTGCATGTCTGGCGGCCATAAAAAAATGCATATTTAAACTGCATAACAATGAGAAAGCGGCACGCGAAAACATTTACAGCTGAGCCCTAGGATCGGAGCGGATCGGATCGGATCGGATAGGATCAAGGGATCGCGGATATGCACCCACATAATGTCTATGTCCGCGAGTTGCTCAAGTGAAACACCACAAAAAAAACAGAAAGAAAAGAAATGCAGCAGCAAAAAATTAAGCTGGAATTTTGAGTGGCACGCGCCGGTGCCCGTTGCCCGTTGACCGATCCACGAGCCACGAAACTCCTTCACAACTGCACTGCTTATCCTTAACTTTCGTTGGCTGTCCGGCTGTCCTGCTGTCCTGCTGTCCGGCTGTCGCTCTCCCTGTCCTGTTCTGTACCGTCCTGCTCCTTGTGCTCCTTCTGGGGACAGGTGCAAAAAACTCTTTTCTTTGCCTTTGCCTTTGCCTTTCAGTTTTTGTCCGTCCCCCGAGAGAGTATCCTTAAGCACACACAGACACACTGCAGTACTCCACCCCTGATCGTGGCTGCCCTTGTCTGTGTGTGTGTGTGTGTGTGCCCGTCTCTGCATTAATTCGCTTCTTTATTTTTTTCGGTAATTGCCGAAAAGGTTCCGAATGAACGAGCGAATCCTCGTGGCTCATATGTACACCCTAATGCCATGTCCCTCGGGTCCCGTATAGGGACTGTGTACTCGTACATATCCCATGTGTCTGTCTGGGCTCTTCGTGCTCTGATCCAGCGGCAGACGGATTATCAGCGACCAGCCCATCCAATGCTATCCCCCGTACTGTACTGCTCCTTACTGTCCTGTCCTGTCCTGTCCTGTCCTGCTCTGTTCTGGCTGATCCTTTGCGCTTGATTACGATTTGGTCGGGGCACTTTTCATTTCCCAAAAAGTCATTTCTGCAGCCGTGCGATCATTGACTTTTGTCAGGCAATGCCACAGGGACACACACACACACACACACACACACACACACACACACACATAAGGACACAGGAGCATGCTCTCCCGTGTGTACTGTGCGTTTGATTTTTAGTTTGAAAACTAAAATAGCTTGAAGGAAAATCACATTCCAGTTTGGACATCTGTCGGGTGACATGTTTTTTGGGCGCCATTCGAGATGCCGCCACAGCAGATGTCGGTCATCTCCCGGTCTCGGGCTGGTCCAGCCAGTTGTCCTTCCCGCCTTGATTTTGGCTAATTTTGAATAACAAAAGGGCCAAAAATAAGAGTGTAGCCTGATATTTTCAATTCCATTTCCATATCCATTGTGCGGCCAACTCGGGAGGCTGCGCGTCCGCCAGTTCTCACGCTGACCAGTCCAGTCCAGTCCAGTCCGAACCCTGTCCGGCCCTCGAACGGACAGCTGTCCAGCGCTGCCCACAAAAGCTGTGAAACTAGAAAAAGCTTTTTGTTATTCGTTTTCTTTTGTTTTGCCCACAATGGCCCGCCATGATCATAGTCCTTTGGACACCTCGGCGGACACTTGGGTGCTGGCTGCGACAATAGAGCAGCGTCGGACCGAACCGGACTGGGCCACAACGGACCCTTTCCAACTGGTTCGCAGCAAGCGCTCTTTGAATGGAGTAATCTTTCAGCCTATTCTGTTTTTTGGAAAAGATTTGGGAAGCGAAAGCGGTTCCCACAGTGGCCAATTCCCATCGGAAAGCCAAAAGCTGTGCGGCTCTGCCGATCGTATGCGCACAGACTAGAGGAATATAGCAGCTAGTTAAGGCAGCTAAGGAGGCAGCAATAAAGGTACAGGTAGCCAGGTTTTGGCTTGTTCAGCTGTTAACTGAGCAGCTTTCGAAAAGAAGGATAAATGATAAAGATAAAGCCAATCTAGACAAACAAACACACGAATTTCAAATTTTAATTTCGAGACTATGCGAACATTTCATAGCATACTTTTGGGCGCGTCCGATTATTTGAATGCATTCATTAATTATAAGCAATAATCAAAGTAATTACATTACACGAATCTCTGAAATTCGGAAAAATAATCAAAGCTTGCTTAAAATTGGGTGGTGTTAGTTTTTCACAAAGTACAGTCTACACAGCAGCAAAGTGCTCGCAAATAAGTAAATTTGAATTAGGCGCCCAGGCCATTTGACTGTCTGGCAACCACACGCCACTTGGGGTATTTTACGCATTTAGGGTAAAAGATGTCATGTTCATACTAGGTGAGAGAGGTGCTACTATTATTTATTAATTTTATTATATGTATGCAATTTGTTCTCCTGCTTAAATTGAGCGGTGCAAAAGTTGTTTTATTTTCCATTGGTATATTTTGAAAATGAGAAGCTATACGTCGGTATATTTCTAAGGGTGAGTCCGCGGTCACACTGATCAGCTGTTTCTTGCACAACATTTGCGGCGTTTTGCCCGTTTTTCCCCAAAAAAAGAAGAAAACATAAAATTAGTGACACAAAATGCGCCTCACCAATGTTCTGTTCAAGAAGGTGAAGAGCAAGTAAGTTTATTCAGCTGAGGGCCAGGCATAATTGGGTAATTTGTGTTGTTTTCCGCCCGCAGACGGATCATGGTCGTGCTGGAGAGCGTGGTCAGCGGACATCAGTACAATGCGTTCCGCGAACGCCTGGCCGAGAAGATCGAGATGATACGCTTCGATCCATACAGTGAGTACTGTGATATATGCTCCGCTACATACACTCCAATCGATGTTTTTCTTCCCACAGTTCAACAGGAGAGCCTCTACCGCGAGCGCAAGAAAATTCGCAGCGCCTGAACAGGCTGGATGGATACAGATCCATAATCTACAGAACAAATAAATGTTACGCTACACAAACACACACACAGAAACGAATGTTGCATTTCTTTCTTGGAGTATACATATATTTTTATTTGCTATTTTTAACACATTTTCTTGTTCGAGCTCCCTGTCGCTGTCCTAACACTCGGGACGCAAACAAATTGCAAATTTTGCGGGAGAACACGAATTACAAAAGGATGAGCCAAACAGGGAATTTGGCAATTACTTAGTTGTAGTACAAATACAACTTATGGATGATTTTTAAAGGGCTTCTCAACCATAAGGATGCCGCGCTCCCAGAGGGCTTCGGCGAACTCCAAGCGCTCTTCGAATTCATTCGGAAGTGTATCCTTGGGCTGCAGATCTTTGATCTTCACGTATTCGGGATAGGCATGAATTAGTTTCTGTATGGTGGTGGCCTGGCAGTGCTCCAGCTCAAAGAAGTTTGGCTCATATTTGCAGTACTCCAAGGCATTGTCCGTGTAGTAGTAGCAGCGCAGGACACCGTCGTCGATCGTGAGGCGCACGATATTGGCACGCAGCAGACGCACTGCCGTCGACGCTGTGAACTTGTAGTCATGCGAGCAGCGGCCATTTTCGTCCGCGGTGTGCCGTATCCCGAACACAGTGCGCTTCTTCTCCGCGGGCGCAATGGTGGGCGGCAGGGCCTCGTGCTGGAATCGTATGGCCAACTGGTCCAAGGCTTGATCGATCTGATTGGCGGTGGGCACCATGCGCTGTGCCAGATTCTGGATGTGTTGGATCATCTTTTGGCGCTGCTGCCCCTTGAGACTATCATTGGCCACGCCAAGATTCTTCCAGATGTTCAGCGGCAGGCCCTTGCGCAGATTCAAGCTCTGCTCGACACTCTCCGCAAGGACCAGGGGCATAAGTTTCTCCATCAGATTGGCATACGACTGCTGCTGGTAGGCGCTGAGCGTAATGTGGAGCGAATGCGAGTTCTTCTCTGTGACGGCCTGGTGGATCCAGCCGCGTGGAAAGTACAGCACATCGCCGGGATTCAGTACGATGTCCATGAGGGGTTCCCCGAGCTCAGCCTGGCTGAGGTTTCCCGACGATACGCGGGGCAGTTCTTTGGTGGGCAGGTAGATGCGCCAGCGCTTCTTGCCCTCCACCTGGAGCACAAAGGCTTCAATATCATCGTAGTGCGGAGCGAATCCCTGGCTCTCGGGTGGCGTCAGATAGACATTGGCCCCCACCAGGCAGTGGAAGAACTCCTGCAGCTTGCTGCACAACTGCCGCAGCCCGACAAGGTAGGTGGAGGGATTCAGGATGCGGATGCTGCAGCCGCGTCGATAGTGTGCCCAAACACTGGGCGGCAAGGCACGACCGTCCGGGTTTAAGGTCTGCCGCACGCCGTCCTCATAGCTGGTTACATCGATGTTCGTGGTGTACTCCACGTGGTTCTGCAGCAGCATCTGATCGATCATATTGAATGATATTAGATCGCAGAATCTGTCCGTACTTGTGCTGGCCACTCTGAACGCCTCCTTCTCCCAGTGTTCACTCAAGAAGGCGGCCATTGTCATCGGTGCAATGAGCGTAGCCAGTGCCCGCTCTCCCTCTTTAATGCTGTCATCCTTGTGTGGCTCCAAGGCGTTCTCAGATTTCACTGAACCGATGTTAATGCTGCATGGCATGCTGGCCACGGGTTCCACCTTGACTGGTAGCGCATTCTTCTTGCTGAGCAGCGGACATGAAGGAGCATCCGCCGGGTGGCCTTGGGATACCTTTTTATTTTTGGTCGGTAGTGGACACGATTTGGCATGTGTTGTGGTAACTGGCAGCGACTTGCGTTTGTTGCTGGCGCTGGTGGAAGCCTTTGGCTGCTGTTCTGCTAGTGTGGCCCAGGCAGCCGATGTCGACGGGCCCTCTGGAGTGGATGAAGTGCGCTTGGCGCCACTGGGTTTGCTCTTAAACTCATTATCGAGGCGTCGCTTCAGTGACTGGCGTTTATTGACCAGTGCTTCCGGTGAGGATTGGGACTGGCTGGCTGTGCTAGAGTGGCTATTCAGCGTGTATTCCTCGTGCGAGTCATCCGAATGGGAGCTGCAATGGCTGTGCTCGCTGCCGCTGTCGGAGCTGTCATCCTCGCTGCTACTGCAGTTAGCGGCGTCGCTGTAGCTGCCGTTCTTCTGTGCCTGACCCTTCTGCTTGACACCATTTTGGGTGGCCATGTTTCTGTTAGCGTTTCTGGCAGCCACGTTCCTGTTTGTGTTTTTGGCGGCCACGTTCTTGCCGGCATTCTTTGCTCCTTTTTGTGCATTCTTTGCGGTTGGGGGGCTGCGGTAGGCGGCAAAAGCCGACACCATTTTCTTCTTCTCTGACATCTTGACACTGTTAAAATGCAATATAATCAGTCGATTGTCAAATACCAGTTACGTCCAATGACTTGTTCAAATTTTAGCACCGAAAATAAATTTTAGCCTCTCTCTCTCGCGCTCTCACGTGCACAAGCAGTGTGACCATCAAATATACTGCACGACCCTCAAATATATATTTCTAAATATACCGTGAATGTTCAATATTTTTTCTCGATTTTGATCTTCTTTTCATTATTACCAGCTAGTTAGGACTCAAGAATCAATCAATTTAGCTAGCCTTGATAAGTTATTTGTATTGTGTTGCTTATCAAATAAAATAGGTCTACTAAAAACACTAGAATAAAACTTTACGCGAGTGGGAATGGCATGGTAAGTAATTTGTCAACTTGTGGGTAGAGAGAGTTGAAAAAGTGGATGGTCATCGAAACAGCTCCTTGGCTTCCGCCACAAATAAGACATATGTACCAAATGTGTAGTTAACGTGTAGTTACTAGAACGGAAATCTCTGGTATTTTTTCACAATGGAAGGAATATTTCAGAGGGTTAGGCGGCATTTTTAATCATTAAGCCCGCAGTCACACTGGTCGCACGTTTGTTAGTTTATATTTTTCTCGCGCGGAAAGGAAATAAGAGCGAAACGACACGAATCGAAAGCAGCAGCCGTGTGTAATTACTAGACAAAGCGATAAGCGGGGCAGAAATTGAATAAATAAAAGGGACCAGTGTGTGGTGTGTGACAGTCACTTGGCACAATCCAGTCGTCAGGACAGGCAGGGGCAGAGGACAAAGGCGTGTAAATAGGCAGGGCTGTTGAGCGCGTGAGAGTGGGACGAGAGAGGACGAAATCAAAGACAGGGCGGTGAGGCCAAAACCAGGTGTTTACAACTTATTACTCACTCTCTCTCTATATCTTTCCCTCTCGCCATATATTTGTGTATATGTGTGTTCCTGTGCCGCCTGTGTGTGCGTGTGCGTGTGCGTGAATAACAATATCAAACAATTCATGCAATAAACTATAATAGTTAACTGATAAATAACAGCAATTGTTTATTTTTTTTTATATATTTTTTTTATGGTTGCTGTTGTGCCTTGGGACACACACAGCGGAGTAAACGAACATTTCCAAATCCTACAATTTGGTTTCTAACAACTTGAAACCAAAATGGCCCCAGCATTGAGCAAACTGGCCAACAATCAAAGCGCCATTGTTGGTGTGGCAGGCATGACGGCAGCCCTGTGGATAATTGCATACGGCAAGATGTCCAACAAAAAGAGGTGAGTCCCCCCCGCTGTACAATACGATCCCCATTCCCCATTGCTTACACAGACAACCTAATCAAAATATCATCAGTACAATAATTTCTTTGGCGTGCTCTCCTGGCCCGCGTTTTGTTTATATACTGCTTATGCTATGCTATTATTTTGACCAGCCAGCGCAAAACATTGGGGAAGGTCTCGGTCGGGGTCTTTTAAAAATTGTGCTTGACATTGAATTTGATTTACGGTACGCGAGTATTTACGCTAAGCCTGCAGTCACAGCCCCCCCTTTAGACCGAAACTGCGACTTGACTTTTTTGTTGCAGTTATTGCGGTTCTCTGACGCTCTCTTTACATACCTCTCTGTGTGTGTGTGTGTGTGTGTGTGATCGTACGATGCCCGGTAGTGGGTTGTCTTTGAAACTGGTTTCTTGATCATATTTGATGCATTTTATATTCGTCCACCTGCCTTTCGATTTCTCTCTGCACTAGCCTCAAGGACAGCCAGCTACGAGCAGCTGTTCCGTTATGTTCCGACTGATCTTGCTCCCTCCCAAGATCTCAATGGAAGAGGGCGGGGTAATGGGGCATTGCCCCAGTTAAGGCTTTCACTCTGCCTGGCTGGGTGTGTGTGTGTGTGTGTGTGGATTTTTTGTTCAGAGAGAAAGAGAGAGAGATTCAGAATAATCTCTATAATGTGGTGTTGCACATTTAACGCTTTCTCTCCAATCATTCGCTACAAATTGCCACAATTGATGCAGATCCCCACGCGACCACAATTTATCTCTTAATCTGTATAGGAAAGGGTTCTTCACTGCTTCCTCACTTGAGGCTTTCACTTCACTATCCCCACTTACTGCGCCAAGTGCACTTACTGAGTAGCCGCCTGCATATGGGATAACGGTCGAAACAAGTGCATAGATCGACAGCCGACGGCCACACAAGAGATTCGCTGTTCAAAGTCTGCCCGTGGTCAACAGTGCCAGCACTTTTTACAATCGAAATTTCATGATGTGCAGACGGACCGTGGCCCTGCCACGTTTCGGGGTTCTCGATTCGATGGACTTGGGGTTTCGGGGACGCTAATCTTATCTGCAGGCCGGACGGCCAGACGATTCCCATATTAACCAATGCTACAGCTATCGGTGTTAGTGGCGGCCCTCGACGTGATTAGACTGATTGCCTGTTACCACCCCCATTTGCTGGGATCGGATCCATGCTATACGGATACCAGCATTATGCTACATCTATTTCTGATCTAATTTAATTGAATTCTACTTGCATGACCAAAGCAATTAATTAGAGAGACAGAGATTGTGCGTTGTGGGTATTTCCGCTGGGAATGCGATTGGGATCACTCGATAATTGTCTCGATAATGGTCTCGATATCAGTCAGCAATCGACTTGTTGTTTGCTCTTTCCACACTTTCGGTGTGCACTTTGGAAAGCAATAAAAAGATTTTAATGGGCTGCCCGTTCCCGCCGTTCTCCGTTCCCCGTTGCCCATCTGTTGTGTGGAATGGCCGGTAAATTTATGCGACGTATTGCATATTTTCGCGCCCTACGCCTGATCCGTTGTGGCATATCAGTTCTGCTGAGGCTTGCTGACTCACAATAGGGTATGCATTACCTGCCCGCGGGCGCACACTCGAAACGCAAATGCAAATCTACACGACCCCAAGCCGCAAGTCTAACAACTTTGACATCCAGCCACAGCAGCAGCAGCAGCAGCCCCCTACAATACAATTAAACACGTAGCCAGACAGCCAGCCAGCCAGCCAGCCAGCCAGCCAGCCAGCCAGCCAGCCAGCCAGCCAGCCAGCCAGCCAGCCAGCCAGCTAGCCGGGCAGGGTGCTACTGTATGAAGCTTGAGGCTTGGAGTGGGGGTGAAAGCGTATGTGGAGTTGGCCAACAATTGCATCATCTACGGAGGACACACGGAGGACAGGTGCCACAAGTGTCACAATTGAATGGCCTCCCGAGTATGAGTATCAAACATAAATATTACGAGACACGAGTGCGGTGCGAGTACCCGGTAGTAGGTACCTTAATGACTGGCAAGTGTGATCTATCACGGGGCTGTGGCTTGGGCTGGGGCCATGCCGGGTCTACACTTATAAAAATGAGACTTTGTATGATTCTGGTTTCGTTTTTTGCGGGTTCCCTTTTGCTATTCCTACGCCGAGTATTTGACCGACCCGCAGACAGTAAGACAGACAGGCAGACCAGCCAGAATAAATGCTAATTTCGGTTGTAGTTGTAGTCCGTCGCGTCGTCATATGCCACAGGTAGACAGACAAACGAACAAGACAAGAGAGCGAGCGCACTTCTCGTCTCATTTCTCACTTCTTCAGGTGTACGAGTGTGTATGAGTGCCTGCGTGTGTGTCGGTTTGGGTAACTGTTGCGTAACATTGGCAAAAACGTTTATTTCGGACCACAACCTAAACGGTAAACTGAAAACGGTAAAAAGAGTTGTTGTGGTTCTTTCTTTGGTATTTTCTTCATTTCTATTATTAACTGTTTGTCAGATTTATCATATTGTAGTTACATTACGCCTCAATTAGCCCGCAAACATTGGGCATACTCATTGGGCTAGCCCCCACCTCTCTCGTCCTCCGTCTTGCAGCCTTTCTCCCTGTTGGCAACAGGTTGGTCGTCTCGCCCCGTCTCCCTCTATGTAATGTAAATCTCTTTCTACTTCTGTAAATTGCCGTAAACTTGAGCACATCCAATGTCGCAGTTTCACGTAATTGCGAGCCAAACCAATTTTGCGCGTGAAATTAAATCTCAATTTGAATACTGATTGCGGATTGGGGATGCATTTACGAAACGGAGAGACACCAGCCAGCCAGCCAGCTGGATTGCAGTTACTTCTGGGAGAGCGCGGTGCAGCAGCCGATCGATCGGTAGATGAAGAAAGTTCTCTCTCGTGCATATGTACATGTACGTACACGTGTACATGTTCTATACCAGCGCTCCGTAACGGGAATGGGTTTGTGTTTGGCACATGTTCGTCAGCAGCGAGCGGGTGAGAGAGGGAGATGCAAACTGGAATACATATGTATATTTGTATTTCTTTCGCACATGTTTATCAGTACGATAAGCGAGAGCACGAAACGAGCGATCAGATAGGCAAGAGGCTAGGCTAGGCCAAAAGGAAAAACAAGAACAGTTGAACTTTGCTCCGTGCCTTGAGAAATTAGGCCGGCCCCTGAGTCAGCGCCCCAAAAATCTGCTGCTGCTTGTCTTCCTCGTATTTATGTACCTTTCTCATCTCGCGTTTGGGTTCAATGTGCCGCCAGCCAATCGATTGCCGGTGGGCGATAAGCAGCATCGAAAACACAGTTTGGTCCATCGAAAGATAGTGAAGGTAAGAAAGGTGTGTGGCGTGTGGGGTGTTGGGAGAGTAAGTGAGCGCGATGGAGACTCACCGATCGAACGACCTATGGACCCAAACACATGTTGCACGAGCAAGCGCGCGCCCGCGCATGCGGCGAACAGAAAGAAAAGAAAAAAAAACGAGTTTAATACACGGATTTCCAAATAAGGAAGTGCCAAACGATAAATACAGACAATACAAGAGCATTACGAATAAATTAGAGAGCCGTCGCTGCCGGCCCATGGCGTTTGGAATTCAAGAAATGGCCGAGTCATCGCGACTCATCATCTTTTGTGTCGATGGCTGCGCGCGACACCTACAGCATAGAGAGAGTCATGATAACCCAGGCATGAGCTTTGTACTTTGTCTTGCCCCAGTCCCCAGAGCCCCAGAGCCTCAGAGCCCCGCCAGGTGCAAACAAGCCGAAGCAGTTGTCTGCGATATCTGCTGCAATTCCCCCTGTCTGACCTTTGGCTAGTGTCTTCGATTGTAGGCACCCGTCCTCAATGAAAATCCCCTTACTTTCCTACCATTTAAAAATCCTTTCCGTTTGGCTTGCAGAAAATCCAGCTATGAGAACAAGATTCAGTACACAATCGCCGAGAAGAAGGACAAGAAGGCCAACAAGGCGCATGTCAATTCAGTATTCTTCAAACAGCTGCGAAAGTTGCTCCGTAAGTCCTTTAACTCCCTGACCCGTACAGAGTGCACGCTATAAATGCTTTCTGTTTGTTGTTGCAGCCATACTCATTCCTGGATTCTGGAGCGTGGAGACGGGACTGCTGGTCCTGGTGGCCGCCGCACTGATTGGCCGTTCGGTGAGCGACATCTGGATGATACAGAATGCGACGGTTGTGGAGAGCACCATCATACATATGAATAAAACCAAATTCAAGGCGGCTCTGCTCAAATATCTAACAGCCCTGCCAGCGGTAAGACTTTCACTGCTTAAACTCTCGGCTATGGCTAATCCCCTTTGTACCCTGCCCACTTGCAGATCTCTGTGGTAACCAATGTCCTGAAGTGGAGTCTGGGCGAGCTGAAGCTTCGCTTTCGCACAAATCTGACGCATCATCTGTACAATCAATACCTGAAGTAAGTTTGAGGTGCTCGCATCTTGAAACATAAATCTTATTCTGATTTCTTCTACTCTTTAGCGGCTACACGTACTACAAAATGTCAAATCTGGACAATAGAATAGCAAACGCCGACCAGCTGCTGACAACGGACATTGACAAGTTCTGTGAGAGCGCCACGGATCTTTACTCGAACATTAGCAAGCCCGTGCTGGATATATTTATCTATGTGTACCGACTGACGGTGAATCTGGGCGGCAAGACGCCCTCGATTCTAATGCTGTACCTGTTGATTGCCGGTGTGTTCTTGACACGCCTGCGCCGCCCCACCGGCCGCCTCACCGTCGAGGAGCAGAAGCTGGAGGGAGAGTTCCGGTACGTGAACAGCAGGCTGATTACCAATTCGGAGGAGGTGGCCTTCTATCAGGGCAATGTGCGCGAGAAGCTCACCCTGTTGGCCAGCTACTCCAAGCTGCGTGCACATCTGAGCAAGTTCCTTGAGTTCCGCGTCAGCATGGGCATCATCGACAACATCATCGGCAAATGTATGTCCATCCCCCCATTGGGCTCCCTCCAATGCTTAGTCTCTTAAATGTTTTTGTTGTTGCAGACTTTGCCTCCATTGTGGGCTTCTATGCTGTGTCCATACCCTTCTTCACCGACAATCATCCACTGCTCTCTGGGGAGCACAGCGGACAGCGTCTGCAGGCCTACTACACATACGGCCGGATGCTGGTGAAGCTGGCGGAGGCTATTGGCCGCCTGGTGTTGGCCGGACGGGAAATGTCACGCCTTGCGGGCTTCACCGCTCGCATGACCGAGCTGATTAAGGTGCTGGGTGATCTGAACAAGGGCACCTACGAGCGAACCATGGTCAATGGCAATAATATAACCCAGAATGCCAGCGGCTCTGGAGCGGATAGCTTTGGGCCCAACAAGGGCATCATGTGCTTCGAGGACAACATCATCCGGTTCGAGCAAGTGCCTTTGGTTACGCCCAATGGCGATGTGCTGCTCAAGGAGCTGACCTTTGAAGTCAAGTAAGTGTCTGCAGCTGAAGCGCCTTTCGGTCTTTGACTCTCTGTTCCTGTAGATCTGGCACCAATGTTCTGGTTTGCGGACCCAATGGCTGCGGCAAGTCCTCGCTGTTCCGCATCCTTGGCGAGCTGTGGCCCACGTGGGGTGGCAAGGTGACGAAGCCCTCAAGGGGGAAGCTCTTCTACATACCTCAGAGGCCCTACATGACGCTGGGCACATTGCGCGATCAGGTATTTCCCTTTGATTGCATTTCCCATTTCCCTTTCATGACACCAACGATATCCCTCTCTATTCCACGTAGATCATCTATCCACACACGCGTGAGGATATGCGACGAATGGGCCAGTCGGATGAGGATCTCATGCACTATTTGGACATTGTTCAGCTGACGTATCTGGAGCAGCGGGAGAATGGCCTGGATGCCATCGAGGACTGGATCGATGTGCTGTCGGGTGGTGAGAAGCAGCGCGTGGCCATGGCCCGTCTCTTCTACCATCGGCCGCAGTTTGCCATTCTCGATGAGTGCACCAGCGCCGTGTCCGTGGATGTTGAGGGCAAAATGTACAGCTACTGCCGGGAGGTGGGCATCACGCTATTCACAGTCTCGCACCGTAAATCCCTGTGGGTCCATCACGACTACTACCTGCAGTTCGACGGCCGAGGCAGCTACGAGTTTGAGGCAATCGACCAGGACAAGGAGCATTTCGGCTCCTAAATTAGCTTCCATTAATTACGCTTCCCAATGATCGATGTCAGCAATTCTTCACTCTCCAACATGCAATTTCCACGTGCAATTTCCGCTTCAAGGCTTTCACTTTTTTGCGTTTGTTCGGTGCTGGCAAATCCTTGCTCCCACTCCAATTCTCGGCTCTATTTCTACCTCTACCTCGACCGTCGTTTCTTGCTTCGCTTTATGATTTGTGATTTTATTATTCCTTTCTTCGTTCCCTGGCTAATTCTATTCGGCTCTTAGTTGTACTTCTACCCACAGATAACAGCTAGCAGAGTTTGGTGATTAGAGATTTAAGCGTGAACTATAGTAAAACAGCCTTGACTCCAACCCAAAAGGATGACAAACGATTATCGACAGAGAGTCTATATAGCAAAGAAAAAATTTTAGTAAATTTATACGACAAATATACACAATATAAATACATACACAAACAGAATATATACACTATATATGCATATATGTATATATATAGAATGCGTACACAAATGTCCCTCCTAGTGATTTGTAAATTATACATTCGATTATCCTTTTATATGCCTTTTGCTTTTGTTTTTTTGTTTTGTATTTCTCGGTTTTAAATTGGAGCTTTATTTTTGTTTTGTTTTTAAATGGATCTTTTTGCAACACGTGCGAGTGTGTCAGTGCAGTGAAATGCAATTAAATGTGTACATAAATAATATAAAATAATGAGACAAAAAAAAATCAGAAGGGAGTGTACATTTAATTTGCTTACTTAGGGGCAACACTAAGCTAAGATGTCCAAAATCGATGGGAATGGAAATGGGACTGGGACTGGGACTGTGTTCAATTCTTTCGTTTGGGCTTTTTGCTTTCCATCAGACTCATGATGGTCTTGCGCATATCCTCCGTTTCCTTCAGCTCCGTCTCCAGGTGCTCGATCTGCTCCTTCTTCTCCTGCAGCTGTGTCTCCAGCACGGACACAAGATCTTCCGACTTTTTGCGACCCTCGCGCTGCTCCTCGAGGCTCTTGTGCGTTTTGGCCAGCTCACGATCGCGCTCCTCAATGCTGCGCATCTTCTCCTTGATGTTCTGCTCATACGCCAGCACAGACTTCTTTAGCTTATCGATGCGTGAAGTCTGCAAAGGAAGAGAGGGTTTCAATACCGAAAATGGAATGCTGTCTTGACTCTTACGCTATCCTTGCTGAAGGTCTCCAGTTTGGTGAGCTCTTCGCACTTTAAGCTCAGTTTTGCTTTCAGCTCTTCGCAATCCGTTCGGAGGCCGGCCACTTCCGATCTCTTGACGGCCAGGCGGCGCTCGCTGGCCTTCAAGTGATCCTCGTTCTCGGATAGCTGCTTCAGCAAGTTGCTCATGTTGCTCTTCAGCTTGTCTGTCTGCTGTTTGAGATCCTTCGACTGTATTTGCAGCCTAAATGGGAGGGAAAGTGCAACAAAGTCAAGATTTGGACTTGTTTATTTTTGGACTTTCACTTGCCTTTCCTGGCTGATGAGCAGCTCATAGTTCTTGGTCTGAAACTGTTCCAATTCGGCATTCTGGACATTGGACAGCTGGGTGCTGCCAATCAATTGATTGTTGGCCTGTTCCAGCCGCTGCTGGAGGCTCAGCATGCCGCTCTTGAGGCTGTCGATGCGATGGTTGTACAATTCGATCACCTGCGACACGGGCACCGACTGCAGCTCGTTGCGCCTCACAATGCCGCTTATGTTGTCGACCAGTGACCCGACGCGCTGCGACAGTTCCTTGTTAATGAACGTGCGATGGCACTTGAGGATTGAGCTGAGTGTGTACCACTGCTGCTGCTGCTGCGGTGCTGCTTCAGCAGCAGCCGACGAGCAATTCAGTCGTACACTGTTGATGCTTGCCAAGTGCTGCGGACGAGATGCAAACGCAAATTGGATGCCAAAAGAAAATAGTAAAAGGATTTTAATCTCGCTCACCTTGGCCACGGCCGACTTGGGGAAGTGCTCGAATCGGGCAATCTGTAGAACGGCCTCCACAACCTGCTCGTTGCCACTGGCCATGCCCCGGGCCAGGGTGTACTGCAGCTGGGGCTGCTCCAGAAGAGAGCAACACTTCTCGAGGTACGCCTTCTTGGCAATGCTGGCAAAATTGATGAGCAGCAGCAGGCAGAAGATGGCCTTTGCCACCTCAGCCTGTGCCAGCGACTGGCCGCTCAGGAACTGTGGCGTCAGGGCTAGCGGAGAGGCCAAAATCTTATCAAAGTACGACTCGGGAACTTTCGATAGCACCAACTTCTCCGTCTTGGGCTCGCACAGTAGATCCAGCAGCAGGCGTAGAATGGCCACGACATGGGCGGGCGTCGTCTCGGGCCGCTCGGCACTGGCCACCAGGCTGACGAGATTGGCGGGCTCGCGTGCAATCTGCTGCGCTACGGCAACACCCTTGCCACGACGCAGCAGCGTGGAGAGCAGCTCAATGGCCGCCACACCGCACAGATCGGAGACCAGCCACTCGCCGAGCATCTCGTACAGACGCGGCGTAATGGCGTCCAGGCTGATAACACTGCTCTGCTCATCGGATAGATCCAGAATGTAGCTGATGAGGCGGAATATCAGATCCAGGCAGATCTGTTGATGCTTTCGTGTATCCTCGTGCAAGTCGTCCATGGTACTGCGTGAGTCGATTTGCTGAAATAAATGCGAGAGTGACAATGATAATGCAATGATCTATGACCCTGGGCTGCTGCTTACATCCAAAAGCTTTTCGACATCCTCGCAGTAGTGGCTGTGGGAGAGCATGGCCTGGTGGAGGCCCGCATGACTCTGGGAGTCCAGCAGATAGTCCACAATGTGGCGCAGCTGGGCGACGTTCCAGTTCTTGAGGCAGTCCTCGATGCCCGCAAAGCATGTCCGCAGGAAGGTGTGCAGTTCGCGCTGCTCAAAGGCGTGCACATCCTCGGAGAGGATGATGAGCATTTTGTAGGCGAGCAGGCCGTACTTCATGATGCGCCTACAGAAGCTGGATATGTGCACGCTGCGCAGGAAGAGCAACAGCACCACAAAGTTCTTGTAGCAGAGATTCACCAGTATGGAGAGGGCCAGCAGGGCATGCGCAGACGGCTGCGCGCCGTCACCGTCGCCCTCCACATTGTGGACAATGTCCACCAGATGCTCGAGCACCACTGGCAGATACGGCTCCTCCCAGGCGATGTGAATGCCGTAGGTGAGGTCCTGCAGCAGCACCAGCAAGCGATACACGCGCTCCTCGCGCTCAGTCTTCTTCAGCAGAAAACTCAGCAGCGGCACAAAGCAGAACTTCTCGACAATGGCCACACGCGCCTCTAGATTCCGGCTGCAGTGCTGCACCAGTGCCACGCATGCCCACAGCACCTCACACTCCCCGTCCAGCGCACTCATCAGCGCATGCAGATCCATAAAGAAGCGCGCCAGCTCCAGATTCCCGGGCGTCGGTGCATAGTAATGCGGATGCACCTTTGTGCCCAGCAGCGCTATGCTGCGGTGCAGATACACCAGCGACTCTTCGGTCTTTAGCTGATGGTAGGTTGCTGCCTGGCTGCTGAATTCTCTCATATATCCAATCGCCTCTGCCACTCCTGCATCCTGGTGGGCCAGCGACGAGTGCTGCTGCGGCGACTCGTTGTTGTTGTTGCTGTTGCCGATGGTGCTACTGCTGCTGCTGCTGTTGCCATTGCCGATGGTGGCCACTGTGGGATTCCTAAGCGTAGACATTCTGTTGCCAACACAATACACGGCACTCGAAAATTTTGTCGCAAAAAAAATTGTTTATTTCGAAAGTCTGTAATCGCTTGGCGCTAGTAGTATCGATAGCAAATCTCATGTATCGATATGTTCCCAAGCAGCGCTGGCTAAGGCCAACGATTGATTGGCAGCGCGGCACGACGTCTATACTTTTTTGCTCGAGTTGACAGCCTCGGCTTGAACAAGGTTGACAGCTTCGTTTTAGCAAGAGCGCGCCAAAATTCGAATTTGAAAATAGCCAGCTAAGGCAGGGGGTGTTTGGGCAGTCTCCTTCAGCTTTGGTTATTTAACACACACACACACACACACGCTCACGCACACACACGTGCGTTACATTTCAAATGGCGCATAAATTGTGAAAAGTTCATGCAAAAATCAAAACGAAATTTGTTTTGCTGGACAGCAGCAGACACCCCACCCCCCCAGCGACCGTACAACTCTGCTTCCTGCTCTCTCGTGGGCCACATGTGTGCTGCTGCTGCCAGCCCCGCTACTCCTTTCACAGCACTGAATTACGCATGCTTTCAGCTCTAGGCATTGTTTGGCCAGGGGGGGTTGGCATGGGCTTAGGCTGATTTGGCTTCAAAATGTGCAGAAAGCATAAGCCTAAGCTTTTTTATCGTTTCAACCATGAGACAGGCCACGGCCACGGCCACGGCGACGACTAGAACCAGCACCCGAAAAAGTGAAAGTGGTCCACACACACACACACACACTCAGTCGAAAGCAGAGGGAATACATACATATTTAAATGGTCTGCTGCTTGCTGGCTTTTGTATAGTTGAAAGTTTCAATATTGGCAAAGGATGTGCATGTGTGTGTGTGTGTGGGGATGTTTGTATGTGCATGTGTATGGTGTGTGGGTGAAAAGTGTTTGCCCAACTGGCCAAAAAAACTGCTTAACACACACGCACACGCACACGCCCATCTGCTCACCCTCCCACACATGCATACATATGCGTAAATATATTTGTACATTATTCATGCACAGTGAAAAATGCGGAAGCTCAAAAGCGGAAGCAGCTTTTGACCAAGCAACTGGGTGTTTCTGCTTATGGCTCGCCTCAATCCTTGGCTGATTACATCCTTTAGGCAGCCCAAGAGGCTTCATTTGGTTGCTGAATCAGGTGTACAGGTACAGGTACAGGTACAGGTTCAGGCAGTGGAGAACTACCATCACCCCCACCATTGCGTTGTTCCCTATTTTGCAATCTACTTTTAGCAGTTCTCAGACACAAACAAACACGCTTTACGGCTGGTGGGGTGGACAAACCAATTGTCACATTCTCCCACACACACACACACACAGAATGGAAAGTTATGGGATTAGATGTGTGTGTGTATGGCCAAGTGAACAGAAAACTTCTCTCCAGGGCATTCGCTGTTCGCTGTATGCAAAACAAAAAATGTGTGCGAAAGGAGCAAAAGCTTGAAAAAGGAAGCGACTATGGGGCTTCCCTCTGCTTTGATGAGTTGATCTTATGATGGAATTTGGCTTCAAGTCAAGAGCCACATGGGATCAGAGTGTGAGAGTTGTGCTTGTTGCTCCCTCGATTCGTTTTAGCTAATAAAACACACATTTTTGCTTCCCATCCATGATTGCACATTGCACACGAGTAGACGTGGCCCCCCCATTAGTCGATTGCTGGGTGTAAAAACTAAACAGGACATTTCTCATCCGTTTGTTTGCACAGCCATCAGCAGTGTCCTGCCCCAGTCCTTCTCAGTCCTGTGTGTGAGTGTGTCCAGATTTATTCATGCGTGTGTGTGTGTGTGTGTTTGTGCCTGGCATAAGTGTAAGCTGCTTTTAGGCGCTGCTAACAGAGCAAAGCGCTTTAAAAGGTTTTAAATTTAGCCCCCCCTCAAAAGCGGGAAATGGGAAGTGGCTCCTTCCACTTTTGGCTGGGAGCGCAACTTTCACTGTGATCTTCAGATTATGAGCCGCCTAAACATTGATACCATTGAGCAGGCCTGGGGCCTGCACACACCCCCACGCACTTAACAGAGACAGACACAGACACGCACATGGATCAGGGATCGCGGAGATCGGAGAAACAACATTTGGACAATGGACACCAGACAACAGCGGGACATTGAACATAGGATACGTTTTCAGATGTCTGTCTGTTGTTTAGTCTTTTTCTACCTGCGATGCCATTATTTTTCCTGATTTTCCACTGGATTAAGTGCAGAAAGGTGCGTTCTGTCTGTCTGTCTGTCTGTCTCTCTGTCTGTTTTCTCGTTTTCTCGTTTTCTTATTTTCCTTCTTCTTTTCTCTCTCTCTCATTGTTCCTGGCATACACACACACACACACACGCGCACAGGACGCACTCATTAACGTGGCATGCAACAATAAATTACCACAATTCGACATACGAACAGCATTGAGAGGGACGTGGAAATCGAAAAACTGCTGCTGCTGCTGCTGCTGCCCTCGCAGCCGTCCTTGAGCTGGCAGCGTTTATGCGGCAGCCGAGTCCCCCGATCACGATCATGAACTGGCAGAGTTTTCAACATTTTCTTTCATGTGTAATTATTTACAAAGAGTAAAATAATATTGGATTGCAATTGAAATGTTTTTTGTTACTCTACTTTTGCCCCATAACTTTTGTGTCTTGAGTCATTGAGTAAAGTTTCGCCCAGCTCCCAGCGTAACTCTGTTAACTGTTACGCCACTCATTTCATGATATTTCGCCCAATTGCGTTTTCTGTTACGCATAAACCACACAAACCACCGTTGGCCTGGTCCTCGCAACCTGATTTTCCATCACAGCAACTGCAAGTGCCTCGACTCGCCCACTTTTCCCTTGTTCCCTTTTTCCCTTGTTCCCTTGTTCTTTACTCTTCACGTTTCCCGCTCCCTCGTTGCACGCTCTTTGCTGCTCGATTCGTTTTGAGTGCATTTTGCCGAGCACAGGAAATCTCCGTGTGGCATGCTATGCCTGCCCATCGTCTGCTCGTCGTCGTCGCCACCACCTGTAGATTTTCTTGATTTCGGGCTCTGGCTCTGGCTCTGGCTCTGGCTGCATTCCAAATGATGTACGGCGCCTTTTAATTGGACACGGTCTGCGTGATTGCGCCCGAGCCCCATCCCCCGACGGCCCTGCTGGGTTCTGAAGTGCGTTCTGCATCTTGCTGTCTCTGTCCCACTGTCTGTGTCTCTGTCTCTGTCTGTGTCTGTGTTTGTCTGAGTGGGTGTGTTGCATCATCAAAAGAAAAATCAAGTTTCAAGTTCAACATTATCATCATCATTATGTGTAATTATGTTTGCTGGTCAGCCAGGGGCTGGGCCTGTACTTCGCTCGATGCCGATGCCGATGCCGATGCAGATGCCACAAAGATGCTTCAATGTGGCTGTAAAAAATGAGTAGCAAGTTCCCCCAAACCAATAAACAAACTCCAGCGTGTAGTTTACATTCTTTATTTCGGTTCAAAAAAAAATTCATATTTTTTTTCCATTCCATTCTGTCATGTTTTCCGCGTGTTTCGTGTGTTTTTTTGTTCTTGAATATTTTTGCATGACACTTTTTGAGCTGTGGAGAGGATTTCCCCATAAAAGCAAATCGATTTAATTCGATTTCTATATGCAAGATTCTTGTACATAAATTCTCAGCTTATAGTTTATCGGGGAAATTCTGGGTTCACATTCAGGTAGAAGTTTTGTTTCTAAGGAATATTGGATACATAAATCTGTATGCATGATGCAGGTGTGGAGCGGATTAATTACTCCCCTGCTATACAAAACATTTTGTCTATAAAATTGTATTTAAAATTCCTGATACCAAGTTCGGATGGATGTACAAATGTCTTTACGCAGTTCATGATTTTTGCATTTTGGGTTTGTCGGCTTTGGGGTTGATTGGATGGAGAGAGAGAGAGAGAGAGAGAGAGAAAGGTACACGCGATTTCTTGTCATTTTATTGTTATCATTCCTTTGGTTTTATACGCTTTTTGTTTCCTTGCCTTTGCTTTGAGTTATTTTCAAAGTATTTATTACTCATACTACGCACACACATTTATAGATCTTTCATTATCTTTTCGAGTTATTTTGAGGACTTCAAACTTTTACTTTAGGTGCATTTTCGAGCGATTGACTGAATTCAAAGTTCAAAGATGTTCTTTAATTGCACATCCCTTGGATGAGTTCTCACTTTTGAGGAATACATTTCGGGGGGCTTTCATTTCATTTCATTTCGTTTTATTTAATAATTAATTGCTAAAATTTAACATGTAGTTGCTACATAATTCAAATATGTTTACCATTTTTCTGTTCACTTTTGTTTGCAATGAACCAAAGAATTGCCTGCCCCATAATATTGCTTAGACGTTTTGCGCTAAGAAAAACAAAAGCAAAAACCACAAAAACAAAACAAAAACACGCCTTCAAATCTGCATAATCCTAATCGAAACACAAATAACAAAAGCAAATGGAAACTGAAAGTGAAACGGGGAAGAAAGGAAGAGTTCTGGTTTCGAGCGTTTGCCGAAACAATTTGATATCCTTGCAGTGGCGATCGATGAGGATTGCTTTTAAGTTGCCAGTTGAAGAAAGAAAGAATCCTTTGCTCGATTTTATTTATTTTAGGAAGCAGACAAATGCAGAACTTTTTTCATGGACTTTTCGGTTGAGTTGATCTCTTCTCCTGCAAGGCTATCGAAATCACTTTGCGGATTTGTCTTTGTTTTTGTTTTGTTTCTTGTTTTAAATGTAATTCTCAATTAGTTTTCGTTGTTGAGACAAGTTGCTTGACCATGCCGTCAGGGCGGGGGTGTGGGGTTCCCAGTAGGGGAATATCCTTGGAACAACTACAACTTTTGCCCTCCTGCTCGTTGCTGTCTCTCGGTCAGCGCCCCCCGTTGTGGGTTTTTTGTTTTTTGTTTTTTGTTTTTGTTGCTTAGTGCGGGTTGTCATATGTGAAACAAAATTATCATAGATGGCCAAAAACTGTAAAGATTCAAATTTAAACTGATGACAACCTCTGGGTGCACGAGGGAAGGGGGGCCGAGGGAGCAGCTGCAGGGCGCACATTAAACCTACAAGTATAATTTATATATGTATATATATATATATT